GTGCATGAAGAAATGGATCCTGTTTCTGGTTGGCTGGGGGGAATCTCAGCTTCCTGTAACAATGAATATTCACTATGACTATGAACTGAGTGAACTATGAATATTCACTCAGAGAAACAAGCTGTTTGGCTTGGTAGTGTTTTTGGGCTCCCAGACCTCAACCAGGGTCCTAAATAAGTGTCATGGATAAAGTGGAGATACCCTTGGGAGTTTCATTTTTAATTTTCTTTTGGCAGCTGTGCTGTGAGTTTTGGGGCTCTGGAAATATCACTGGAAAGGGCAGATTGTAGTATCTTCTTTAAAAGTCTGGAAGTTATAGAAGGGTGGTTAGGGCCTTTGTGCTCACCTGTGGGAACTTGAAAGGAGAGTATATCCTCCAAAAGTGGTCAGCCGTGAATGAATGTCCTCTGTCTGTGCTTCTCTGTTTAAACAGGGGTGAACAGCTTCCATACACTGAAGCAGAGTCCTTCATTCCTGAGTATCCAGGAGGGAATGCACATGATTCTTAATTGTACTTATGAGGAGAGAATGTTCTTCAACTTCCATTGGTTCCTGCAGTTCTGGAAAAGAACTTGTGTCTTTGACCTTAATTAAATCAAGCCATAAGAAGCAGGGAGACAAACATTTTAGACAAGTGCTTGGAAAAGAGAAATTTTATAGTGTTTTGAATAGGTTGGCCTCTTATCCCAGAGATCCAGGCACCCACTTCTGTGCATTGTGGCACAGTGTCCCCAAGTACCTGCAGCCTGTACCACAACCTGCAGCTGGGACCCTTGACACAGGCTTAGCCATACAGGTGGGAGTGAAGGTGTTGACTTTATATGTAGAAAGAACTTTCTTTATAACCTCTGTCTCCAAACAGAACTGAAGGTAATACACCATCTTTCTTATGTGATGAAGCTGAGTTTATATTAAGTTAAACTTCATTTCGTTATTATTGAAATTTCATTCCTCAGTGTAGATTGTGCTCTGCTGGCTTCAGGCCTGTGTACCCACAGATCCCTTCCACTGGTCTGTCCTTTATTGTAAAGGGACAGCCCACTGTGGGACAGGCTCTGAGGAAAGTTTTCCCCACGCTGTACTCTTACCAACAGTATTTTACCCATTTGCTTGTAAATTCATGATGTTTCTTGTATTTGTATCATCTGTATTATCATTTACTTAATTTAATATTAGATTAACTTTTATGTTGAGTAGACTTCAAAACTATGTAAAATATTCTTATTTTAATGGATAATATCAGTGAAACCATATTTAATATAAACTATGCATCTGATATGCAGGCTATATTTGTTCCTGATACAAATTAAAATAACATTACGTGTGTAACAACTTAAAAGACCATCTGTGTACTGCCTATCATGACCTCCTATGTTAATCACAATTTAGAAAATACTGATCCAGCTCATGCCCCTCATTTAAAAGATGAGAAAAGTAGAATCAACAGGGACAGCATCACTTATCCAAAGCATGAATTACAGAGAAATGGAAACTTGGAGTGGAACACAGACATTCTGGCCCCTTGTCAGTTGCTTTTCCCATGAAGGATATAAAGCAGGATTCAGTGTTTGAAAAAAGAAGTGATATGTCATAATTTAAAACTAAATTATATTTTTATTACTTAATTATATGTTCATTGGAATAGATAGGAGCTATAAACACTCAGAAAAGGTAGAACACTCCTATAATTTCATAACCTAGAAATGATGGCTATCTGCATGGAGAAAAAATTTTGGTGCACATATAAAGTTATGTTTTTACATAAATGTGGTTTATAATACATCAAGTTTATTAACAGTGTTTTCTTTCAATTTTATATTTAGGCATTTTCAACTCAGGAAGCATATATTGAAGGAATAATAGTAAATTATTGCCTAGTTTCCATTATATAAATGTGCTTTCTAAAAAAATCTTTTTTTGTATTGTTTCCACTTATACAGTATTATAGACAATGTTTTTATTAACACTGTTAAAGTTGTAGCTTTAATGGAAGTGGAGTTGCTTGCAAAAAGAAAAACACATGATACTGAATCCCTAATTTCCATGAAGCTATTTCTCACCAAACTTCAACAGTAATTTCAACAGTAGCACATGATGATGCTGATTTACCAATATTTTACAGATTGTAAACGTTATTGTTTTAAACTAGCTTCCATTTTGTTAAGTAAAAATTTCATTTTTTATTATTCTTTTCTTTTAACTTGAGATTTTGTACCTTTTATTGTTAAAATAAATAAATAAAATTGGATAAGAAATCATCAGATTTCATCACACAGAATAAGTATCCTTTCATATGGTAACATGTATTTTTTGAAAGTGTGAAAAATACTGTTATGATCCAATCTACCTTCTAACTGGTCTCTTTTTTCTCAAGGTAATTAATTATCTATGTCCTTGCTACTCAAAGTATGAACCAGCATTGTCTGAAATTGTGCTTATTCTCAGGCTCCACCCCAGGCTGGTTGAATTTGAATCTGCATTTTTTCAGGATTTCCAGGCAATTCTATCACAGCAAAGTTTAAGAAGCACCCATCTGATGGGTTGCCAGAATGATTTGTTAAAGTATAAATAAAGAGCTTTCTCCACTTGTCAAACATGCTTCAATGGCTTTCTATTGTTCCTGGAATGAAGTGTGGCTTTCAGGCTGAAAGCCTGAAATAAACTATACATCTATATGTGCAGGCTATATTTGTTCCTGATACAAATTAAAATAATGTTACATATATAACAATTAAAAAGAACACCTGTGTACTGCCTATCATGGCCTCCTATGTTAACCACAGTCTAGAAAACACTAATACTGATCCAGCTCATGCCCCTCATTTAATAGATGAAAAAAGTAGAATCAACAGGGACAGCATCACTTACCCAAAGCATGAATTACAGCAAAATGGAAGCTAGGAGTGGAACACAGACATTCTGGCCTCCTATTGCTGCATAATAAATTGCCCCAAAGCTTAGTGGCTTAAGACAACAGCAACCATTTTTCTGGTTTCTCTGGGTCCGGAATTTGGGAAGTGCTCAGCTGGGCAGTTCTGGCTAGGACTTTAATGCAGTTGCACTTAGACTGTGGCTGGAGGTGGAACAACAGGGGACTAGGTAATGTGATGTTTCCAGTTTCATTCCTTCTTTTGCTAAGGATTACTTTGGCTATTCAGGCTCTTTTTTTGGTTCCATATGAATTTTAGGATGGTTTCATTTAATTCTGTGAAAAATGACTCTGATAATTTGATAGGAATAGTGTTGAATCTGTAGATTCTTTGGGCAATATGGACATTTTGAGGACATTGATTCTTCCAATCTATGAGCATGAAATGTCTTTCCGTTTGTTCATGTGGTCTATGATTTATTTCAGCTGTGTTTTGTAACTCTTATTTTAGGTATCTTTCACCTCCCTGGTTAGCTGTTCCTAGATAACATTTTTGTGTGTCTATAATGAATGGGATAGCATTCTTGATTTTGCTCTCAGCTTAGATGTTTTCGGTTTATAGAATGCTACTGATTCTTGTACGTTAATTTCATATCCTGAAACTTTGCTGAAGTCTTTTTAAAAATTAAATCTAGGAGGCTTTTAGCAGATGCCATGGGGTTTTCTAGGTAAAACATCATGTAGTCTGAGAAGAAAGAGTTTGACTTCCTCTCTTCCTATTTGGGTGCCATTTATTTCTTTCTCTTTCCTTAATGTTCTGGCTAGGATATCCAATACTATGTTAAATAGGAGTGGTGAGAATGAGCATCTTGGTCATATTTTGGTTCTCAAAGGGATTGCTTCCAGCTCTTGCTTGTTCAATATAATATTGGCTGCGGACTTGTCAAAGATGGCTCTTATTTTGACAGATTGTTACTACTTTGAAGTATGTTTCTTCAATGCCTACTTCGTTGAGGATTTTTAACCTGGAGGGATATTGAATTTCATCAAATACTTTTTATGCCTATTGAGCTGATAATGTAGTTTTTTTAGTTCTGTTTATATGATGAATCACATTTATTGATTTATGTATGTTAAACTAACCTTGCATTTCAGAAATAAAGACTACTCGATTGTGTTGGATTAGCAGTGGGATTTGGTTTGCTAGTATTTTGTTTAGGACTTTTGCATGTATATTCACCAAGGATATTGGCCTGAAGTTTTCTTTTTTTGTGTGTGTCTCTTCTAGGTTTTGGTATCAGAATAATGCTGGCCTCATAGAATGTGATAATGCTGCAATAAACGTGAGGAGGCAGATATGCCTTCAATACACTGATTTCCTTTCCTTTGGATAAATACTCAATAGTTGGATTGCTGGATTGTATGGTAGTTCTATTATTAGATTTTTGAGAAATTTCCCTACTATTTTCCAGAGTAGCTGTACTAATTTACATTTCTACCAACAATGTTTGAGAGTTCCCTTTTCTATGCATCCTCATCACATCTATTACTTTTTATCTTTTTAATAATAGTGATTCTAATTGGGATAGGATGATATTTCATTGCGGTTTTGATTTGCATTTCCTTGATAATCAGTGATGTCAAGCATGTTTTAAATACTTATTGGCCATTTGTCTTCTTTTGAGAAATGTCAACTTAGATCTTCTGCCCATTTTAAAATGAGATTGTTTGACTTTTGTGTGTGTGTGTGTGTGTGTGGAGTTGTTTGAGTACTTTGTATATTCTGAATTTAACTAAAGTGTCATTTTCACTTTTAACAGTTCACATAACATGGATTTGTAGTTTGAATACATCTTTGATCACTTTTATGAGTCCTCAAGATGGCAGTGTCTTCTCAGGTACCCTGAGGAAAGCTTTCTTTTGCTCCTGTAGGGGGAGGAGAGGGAGGACACAGGTGCACGTGCAAGTGCACACACACACACACATGAATGAGAAAGAGACAGGGAGATATGAGGGAGGAGCTTAGTGATGGAGCAGAGGTTTTAAAGAGAAAAATGAGAAGTGTCTGAGCTACATTCTTTTTTTTTTAGGGTGTAAGGTTTGAATCCTCAGTGAACCAGGGCAGAAAAGAATGATGAATTTTTTGAGAATTTTACTGGCGATCCTGTGGCTTCAGTTAAGCTGTGAGTTTTGGGCATCTCTATAGAAACATAATGTACATGTACATCGTTTGCAATTATTGTCTATTCTAGGCCTGTGGGAAGAAACATGAGTGATTTTTTTCTCTAACAAAGTGAAACTGGGGAGAGTGGAGGACCTGTGAAAAGATAATTTAAATTCTGGGGACTAAGTGTCCACACACAATCTGTCTTCTCTGTCTGTCCACTGTCTTCTTCACAGGGGTTTGGAGCCAACAGAAGGAGGTGGAGCAGAATCCTGGACCCCTCAATGTTCCAGAGGGAGCCATTGCCTCTCTCAGCTGCACTTACAGCAACCGTGCTTTTCAATACTTCATGTGGTACAGACAGTATTCCAGAAAAGGTCCTGAGTTGCTGATGTTCACATACTCCAGTGATAAAAAAGAAGATGGAAGGTTTACAGCACAGCTCAATAAATCCAGCCAGTACATTTCCTTGTTCATCAGAGACTCCCAGCCTAGTGACTCAGCCACCTACCTCTGTGCAGTGAGCACACAGTGCTCTCCAGACACCTGCAGTCTGTACCCAAACCTGCTGTGCCCCAGGCATGCCTGATGTAGAGCTTAGACTGCAAGGCAATGAAGTTCTGTTTGCTCTCTAGATGCAAATGAAAATTAAAAGTAATAGTATTAAAGGTTTGATTGATTTGGGAAATCTTTTCATAATTCTGAAAATAATCGAGAGCCCAAAGGAAAATGAAAGATGACATTTGGTCTACTTGAAATGTTTTCTAGTCTTCTCTTTCCACTTAAGTTTTAAAATATTTTTTTTGGCTGGTCTTGGTGACTCATGTCTGTAATCCCAACATTTTCGGAGGCAGACGGAGGAGGAAAACTTGAGCCCAAGTGTTTGAGACCAGCCTGGGAAACATAGGGAGACCTTGTCTCAAAAAAAAAAAAAAAATCACCAGGAGTGGTGACATGCACCTGGAGTCCCAGCAACTTGGGAGAGCGGAGGTGGGAGCCAGAGAGGTAGAGGCTGCAGTGAGCTGTGATCACACCACTGCACTCCAGCCTGGACAATGGAGTGAGACCCCGTCTCAGAAAACAAACAAAAACAAAACACAAAACAACAAAACAAAATATTTTCATTGAGGTATCATGGCATACAAAAAGGTCCACATATTCACTTTATACAGACAAGACAATCATGCCGTAAACATATCGTTTCTAAAAATTTGCTTCCTCCCTTGTTTTTTTATTATTATTGCTATACCAAAGGTGCATTTATTTAATGTATGCCCATTCTACTTTTATGCCACATCTTTACTTTATGAGATTGGTTTTATGATTCTTTTTATCAAGGACAAGAAAAATATTTTTATACAATAACAGATTTGCTCTCATGTTTCCTAAAGTACTTTGCTCTTTTCCAAGGCATTTGATAGACATTGCTTTAGGAATGAAACAGCAGAATAGAAATGCAAAGTGAAGAAAAATCATAAGCAAACTACTCTAAAAATCCTGTAAGTCATAATTTCTTTTAGTTATAGAACCCTAACTCCATCTCCAGCCTCAACGGCAACATCACTCCTGGGTTACCTAAATGTGCATCTGATGGATAGCTGGAAGAACTAGAGTCACAGGGTGAGAACTGGTTAAAAAAAAGTCTAATTAGTTGCACAGACTAAAGATTAGAAAGGGTCTATGTTGTCATTTTGGGACAAAGTCTGAATCAGATTCAAAACTCCCAGTTTGAGTCTGATGGGACAGTTTATTGATTCCTATGTACTTGAGTGTGGCATGGAGATGGGAGGGAGCTTTAGCTATAGTTACAGAGTACCTCGTCTCCCCAGCAGGATATGAGAGAACAGAAGGACTTAAAATTTTTTCGAGAAGGGTCTCTAAGTATCCAAAGTGGTCCAAAGACACCGAGGGTCTTTGTTATGTTGAGTAAAGACCTGTATGAATAAGAGAACAAAGACCATATGGAATTGAGACTGCTTCAGCAAATGTTTGTCTGGAGAGTTGAAAACACTGAAGGTCATATGAATATCTCCATCCCCTGATTAGGTGCACCACAGATTTGCCCCGCAATGTATGTCAAGCACAGGGAAAGTGTTTGTGGCCTGATAAAATAAGGCCTTTGAGTATATATTACTTTAAATTACAGGTGAAACATTTGAAAGTCACATTTATTATAAAACTGAAGTTGTGGTCTCATAGGCATGACATTATTTATATAGTCCACAAGTTGGGAAAATCTTGGAAATGAAGAATAAAGATTTCTGTCCAGTTTTGTTGATAGTCACTGATGAAAAGGATGCAGCCAAGTCAGAAGTTGCTACAACTTCTTACTCTGCAGAAGTGAAGACGATGAACAAATGTTTCCCAGTCATGGAATAAAGATTTAAAAAGCAGTGAGGAAGAGCAAACAGTTGTGCTAGAATCAAGATACTTAAATTTTAGTTTCACTTTTATCATATGCCTTCTGGCTTCATGGCACTCTGGAAAGAACTCAGGCTGTGGTGCTGGTTTGAATATTGATTATGTTACTTATGGCCCTTTTCATATTAAGTTATACTATTATGTATATTTCAGGATTGGTTTCAGGATTCAGTAAGAAAATATTGTCTTGGGATGAGTTACTTAAAAGCAAAGACTGCATATGGAATTCTCTTTCCGTAATTTATTGGGGAAACCATGTTGAGACAGGGAAATGTCTAAGCACAGACATGGTCCAGCGGGAGTCTTGATTCAGCCTGACCTCATGGGAGCTCTGGAGCATGAAATACATCACAGGGTTAATTCCTCCCACACTGAGGCAAGGAGACCAGACTGCTCTGACCTATTGTGGGTAAGAATAAAGTCATCATTGGTTGTGCTGTTTCTTGGGGTAGAGGTATATGCTACTGGACAATGGTGACTCTCACGGGCCGAGGCTGATTTTCTAGGTAAAGGGGCAACTGTGAGCCAAGAGTAGCCAACACTCGCAGTAGCTGGGGATGACTATACTGTCCTGGGGAAGGGAATCTATTATTAGCATAGAACTTGCCTGGTATGTGTGCAGTATATAAGAAATAACAGACTTGAAGTGGAAGAAAGGATATTAGAGATTGAAGATCAACTTACCGAAATAAGGTGTAAAGACAAGATTAGAGAAGTAAAAAGAATGAAAGGGAACAAACAATGCCTCCAAGAAATATGGAACTATGTGAAAAGACCAAACCTATGATTGATTGTTGTACCTAAAATTGACAGGGCAAAAGGAACCAAATTGGAAAACACACTTCAGGATATTAAACAAGAGAACTTCTCCAACCTAGCAAGACAGGCCAACATTCAAATTCAGGAAATACAGAGGACATCACCATTAAGATATCCTCAAGAAGAGCAATCCCAAGACACATAATCATCAGATTCTCCAAGACTGAAATGAAAGAAAAAATGCTAAGGGCAACCAGAGAGAAAGGTCAGGTTACCTACAAAGGAAAACCCATCAGACTAATAGCAGATATCTTTGCATAAACCCTAAAATCCAGAATAAAGTGGGGGCCAATATTCAGCCTTCTTAAAGAAAATAATTTTTGGCCCAGAATTTCATATTTAGCCAAACTAAGCTTCATAAGCAAAGGAGAAATTAAATCTTTTACAGAAAAGCAAATGCTGGGGGACTTTGTCACCACCATGCCTACCTTACAAGAACTCCCTGAAAAAAACACTAAAAATAGAAAGGAAAAACTGATACCAGCCATTGCAAAAATACACCAAAATATGAAGATCAAATGACATAAAGAAGCTGCATCAACTAACGTGCAGAATAACTGGCCAGCATCATGATGACCAGATCAAATTCACATAACAATATTAACCTTAAATACAAATGGGCTAAATACCCCTATTAAAAGGCACAGACTGGCAAATTGGATAAAGAGACAAGACCCATTGGTGTGCTATATTCAGAGACCCATCTCATGTGCAAAGACACACATAAGCTCAAAATAAAGGGATGAAGAAACATTTACCAAGCAAATGGAAAGCAAAAAAAAAAAAAAAAAGCAGGGATTGCAATCCTAGTCTCTAATAAAACAGACTTTAAACCAATGAAGATTAGAGAAAGATACAGAAGGGCATTACATAATGGTAAAGGGATCAATGCAGCAAGAAGAGCTAACTATCCTAAATATATATGACCCCAATACCCAGATTCATAAAATAAGTTCTTAGAAACATCCGAAGAGACTTGGACTCCCACACACTAATAACAGGAGACTTTAACACCCCACTGTCAGTATTAGACAGATCAATGAGACAGAAAATTAACAAGGATATTCAGGACTTGAACTCAGCTCTGATCCATGCAGACCTAACAGACATTTACAGAACTCTCCACCACATAGCAATAGAATATAGATTCTTCTCAGCACCACATAGCACATATTCTACGATCAACTACATTAATTGGAAGTAAAACACTCCTCAGCAAATGCAAGAGCATGAACAGTCTCTCAGGCTGCAGTGCAATCAAATTAGACCTCAGAATTAAGAAACTCACTCAAAACCACACAATTACATGGAAATTTAATAACCTGCACCTGGATGGCTACTGGGAAAATAACAAAATAAAGCCAGAAATTAATAAGTTCTATGAAACCAATGATAACAAAGAAACAACATACCAGAATCTCTAGAACACAGCTAAAAGAGTATTAGAGGAGAATTTATAGCAGTAAATGCCCACATCAGAAAGCGGAAATGATCTAAACTGAAACACTAACATCATGATTAAAGGAACTAGAGAAGCAAAAGGGAACAAATTCAAGAGCTAGCAGAAGACAAGAAATAAATAAGATCAGAGAAGAACTGAATGAGATAGAGACACAAAAACCCCTTTAAAAAATCATTGAATCCAGGAGCTGTTTTTTTGTAAAGATTAACAAAATAGATGCACCACTAGCCACACTAATAAAGAAGAAAAGAGAGAAGAATCAAATAGATATAATAAAAAATGATAAAGGGAAGATCACCACTGATCCCACAGAAATACAAACTATCATCAGAGAATACTATAAACATCTTTATGAAAATAAACTAGAAAATCTAGAAGAAATGAACAAATTCCTGAACACATACACCCTCCTATGACTAAACCAGGAAGAAGTTGAAACCCTGAATAGACCAATAACAAGTTCTGAAATTGAGGCAGTAATAGCTTACCAACCAAAAAAAAAAAAAAAAAAAAATCCCAGGACCGGATGAATTCACAGCCAAACTCTACCAGAGGTACAAAGAGGAGCTTGTGCCATTCCTTCTAAAACTATTCCAAATGATAGAAAAAGAGGACTCCTCCCTAATTCATTTTATGAGGCCAGCATCATCCTGACACCAAAATCTGGCAGAGACACAACAAAAAATGAAAATTTCAGGCCAATATCCCTGATGAACATTGATGCAAAAATCCTCAATATTCCCATCAATGATAGACTGGATAAAGAAAATGTGGCACATATACACCATGGAATACTATACAGCCACAAAAAAGGATGAGTTCATGTCTTTTGCTGGGGCATGGATAAAGCTGGAAACCATCATTCTCAGCAAACTGACACAAGAACA